TTAATTTAAAAAAGAAGAGATTAAAAATGAAATAAAATACAAATTAAAGATTCAAAAGCATAATATTGTATCAATATATATATATATATATATATATAATAAAATGAGCTATAAAAGGAAACAATTTGTGTATGTATACATAAATAACTTGTGTATAGACCTGTTCACAGGCCAGGTTGGGCTGGGTTTGGGCAAGGCTTTGCCTCTTTATCAACAGAAAATGTCCAGGCCCTAGCCCGAGCTCGATCTATACATTAAATGTCTTATTTTTTGTGTAATTTAATAAACTAATATTATATTAATTTGGTAACAATTTAATAAATTAATTCATATTTCCTGAATATTATTATATGTAATAGTACAGGGTCAGGCTCAGGCCCGAGCCGGGCTTATTTGATAAAACCTGAGCCCGGCCTAAAAAATAGTTGGGCCCAGTATTTAAAGCCTGAGCCCGAGCCCATAGGTCTGAAATTTTGTCCAAACCTGAAAAATATCGGATCGAGCTGGCCCATCGGCAAACCACATACTACAGTTCGTCATGACTTTATCTCTTCTTCTTCATACTTCACTTTATCACAGTTCGCCTGCCGAGCGCCAGAGAACGGAGTCTGTTCTCCCTCTCTCAATCTCAGTTCGATCGTTGACCGCCAGGAAGGATTTGGGCTTTTCAGCTTTTGGCTTCATTCTCCCTCACTGAGTCACAATTCGCCCGCCAACCACCATAGTAGCGGTGAGATGCTGAGACCACCATCCTCTCTGTTTCTCCCTCTACTCGGCCACTCCATATTCCAGAATCATTCTTTGCAGTGGCATCATTATTCCAAAATCATTTTGTCATTTGCAAGTTTTGAAATCGATTTATTTGGTGTTGCAGATATTAATACTGATTCCTGATTAGAGATTTCTTGCTTGTAATTGTGTGAATTTCAATCCCTTGTACCGTTTTCATCTAAAGAAATAAAGAAATGGTTCGTTTAAAGCATTCCATGACTCCAACAATGACCATAACATTAAACTTTGAATGAAATTACGAAAGGTTCAAAACAGGTTCAATAAAATAAAATAATTTTTTTATAAGAGAAAACAATATTTAGTGTTTATATTTAAACCAATCTTTAGTGTTTAGAAAACAATCTACTGATGTCATCTTGTAGATATATAGTAGCATCAAACCAACCTTAGTTAAATAAAAAATAAAAAAAGCAAGAGAGTAGTACAGATTTTGGAGTAACAATCAACAGGGTGGGTATGTCGGGGATTACCCGTCCCCAAGTTCAATGGTAGCGGGGCGGGTACATGTCGGGGATTCCCCATACCCAATGGGGCCGGGGATGGGAGTTGAATCTTTACCCCGATACCAAGGTTCAAAAAATCAACATGTATTGGCTCGTATCGGCCGATACGTATCGTATAGGGAGCACCCTGATACGCCCCTACAGAGGGTGTACCAAAGCTTTGACCAGTTCAAGGGGTGGAGGAACCTTAAACCGGCCCCCCTGAACTGGATTTGAAAAAAAAAGTTAAAAAATGTAAAAAAAAAAAAGATTACTGATACTGCCCAATACGCCCCTACTGACATATCGATATTTAGAACCTTGCCCGATACCAAGGACGGGATGGGAACGAGTTAGGGGATTTTAGCCATAGGGCGGGGATGGGGAAGGGATGCCCCGTCCTGTTGCCATTCCTACCAACCCACGAACAGGTCTACTTGTGTATTATATTTATGTATACATAAAAACTAAAAAGTTATGTATATAAAGGTTTAAAATTTCGCAACGTATCGGTCAATACAGTATCTTTAATGACTCTTAAATTTATTTTCTCTCATTTCTTAATATTAGTAACCTTTCATATTCAAATTTAATGACTTTAAATTAATTATCGCATTTAATAACATGCTATTAAAGGCAAATTTAATAGTGCATTTAAGGCAATGTTCAAATTTGAATATGAATTTGACATGCCACTAACTTGCATATTAAAATTCACAAATAGGGCATAAAGGGATTTAAACCTTAGCCATTTATTTGCCACAAGTCCACCATTATGTCATACCACAAGTGTTTGTTATATAAATTTGTATTTTAATTCTTAATTAAATTCGTTTGTTAGTGGATGACTACCAATAAAAGCTAAAATTCATCATTAAAATATATATAATAAATATCAATGTTTAGAGAACTGGGCTGGACATCAACCCAAAAAAGGGAGAGGTTCAATCAAGGTCAATTTGTGATAACGTAATATATATATATATATACACACACAATATTATAAATTATATATTGGATTCTAATATATTCAAATTATATTACTGTATTATTTTATAACATATATTTCTTATTTTAATTTCAATTTTTTATAAGGCACCTATATCGAAAAGTTACCCAAAATAAAAACAAAAGTCACCACAATAGGATATCTCAATAAAAAGTTATTGCCTTTAAAAGTTTGCATTAATGTGCTAAAACAATTTAAAATAAATAAATCAGTTGTTTTTTTCTAAAACCATGACTGATTCACTAGTTTTCGAGTTTGACTAGTCGGATCAGCAATTTTGGCAAATTTTTAACCCAATCTAATTATGATCCAACCAATCCAATAGGCCAATCGGTCCTATTTTCTAAAAAATGGTAAATATTAACACAAATTATATTGATTCTTTAAATAATATGGTATGCATGCATATACAAACATTTTAATTCTTTCACATTTTTCAATAGTTTCCAATTATGTCTCAATATTTCACACTTTGTATAAATCACTGAAATATGGATTTTTATGTTTAAATAGCTTATTTATAATGATATAAAACTCATATTTATTGTAGTTAACATAGGATTTTAGAATTTATATGAGTTTCTTAGTGTATCCATGTGTATCTTAATTTTTTGTCTGTATCCATGCATATTTTAAGCGTATTTCAATATGTCTCTTAAAATTATCTCTCCGATACACATTGTATTTTCGATACTTTAAACCTTGCTTGAACACTTCGCCTCTTTTAACTTTTTTTTTTTTTTTGAGGGGGGGGTGAGGGGGTGTCTCAACCTTGGCTTAACTTGAACCACCCAAATCACACCTCTAATGTAATGAAGTGTCTTTTCGGATTTCAATTTTCAAAGAAAAAATTCGTTAAGAAAAGAAAATAACGAAAAAATTGCCATGCATACAAATCTAGTTTATCTCACACAGACGGGGGCTTCTGTTTGGTATTATTGGTGTTTTGGCCAGTTATACTAGAAACACAAATACCACAGTGTTGAGACTTTGCAAAACTGATACTCAAAACAGTATCTAACCAATGGGTCAAATGATTCGCATGTTTAAACTAATGGGTCGTTGATCATTGACCAAGTCAACAGATTTTTGGCTTTTAAAGTGGATTTGAAATGAAACGGAATAACGGGAACAATCGAACCGTCCAGTTCGAAGATGGTTTGCAAAACAATCCAACATTGATACAATAAATACCATCAAGAGAATCAGTCTGATCAGGTAGGCACACATGGTGAGCACACTTCAAAAATTTTTTTTGACACCTTTCCCTTAAAATACCACAACTAAAAACTAAAAACAATTTTGATACAATTGTCAAAATATTTATTAAGTGCTCGTTGAATATGCTTATGATGCTATGCTTACTGGTAATTTCTTAGAAGCTTCTTTTTCTAGGTAAAGGGCTTAGAAGCTACTTGAAATTTTGTATTATCCTGCTCATTGATTTCACCATTATTTTCAAAACAATTTTAACTGAAATTGTCAATTTGTTTTCTTTCATTTGGTAGAGGGACACATCATGGATTGGGTTGGTTCAGGCTTTCTGGGCCAATTGGTCCTGAACCTGATCCAACCCAAGGTCAAATCCCAAGTTCGCCAACCCAAGCTTGGCCCCGAGATTTTTTGATGGGCAAGCCTGGCCCAAGTTAAACCCAATACAGCTGCTATATATTAGGACTTGGATGGTTATAGGATAAAACATGAAAAATACAAATATTATTTTGGGGGCGTTCTTTTTTCGAAGTTGAGAGGAGGAATTTGGTCAATGGGATTTTAGTTCCTATCAACCAAGAATCCTATGTTCTTTTTTCAGATTTATATGGGGACCAGGGGAAAGTTTATTTTCCTGGGTATCACTATCCCGATAAGTGATACACATTTCTTAAGTGGATAAATAACTTCCCCACCTAGGGAGAAAGTTGTTAATACTTGAATGGGACAAAAATGCCCATTTTAATAATGAATTTTTATGGCTAAAATGGTCATTACCTTCTTTACATGAGAAATTAAAGTATATGAGTAAATGCATTTACCCGGGTAAGTGTTTTCCAGGAAAAACTTATCCAAATAACTCTATTTACTTGGATAAATAACTTACCGAAAAATAAACAGGGTCTTTATATACATTCTCAATCAGAGTTTCTGTCGTAGATTTAACCTTGCTTTGTCCCGCTTTGTGCTCCAGCTATACTGGGTTAAGTCAGGATATTGTATATTTTCTAAGGGCACTGAAAATATTCTTTCTTTTTTGTAGATTTTTTTCATGGAGTGAAAAAAATTGTCATTTATTTATTTTTGAGAGAGAGAGAAAGTAAAGTGAAAAAAATTCCGGCATTAGTATCACCATTAGAGCCCAATCTTGCTTTTTTGCTCTCTATCTGTGCAGATATTGACTGCTTTGCAAATCCAACTCAAAAATGGGGCAATTTTTACTAGTAAGGCTAAGGGTCCGTTTGGTTTGTAGTTAGAATCGGAATTGGAATCGAAATCGGAATGATCCATTTCCATAGTCTGTTTGGTTTAAACATGATTGAGAGTGGGAATTAAAATCAGCAGGAATGAAATTTCATTCTCAAGGGAGGGGCAGGGAATGGCCATTCCCTCAAATGGGGGAATGCCATTCAAGCAGGAATTGGAATGTAATTCCGATTCCAATTCCAGACCCCTAGTCCTGCAAACCAAATAGACTCTAAATAAACAAATTCACTCACCAAATCTACAGCTAGAGCTAGATATAAGTATTCCGTAGAAAGAAAGAAAGAAAGAAAGAAAGAAGCACAATTTTAACGAGGCTGAATATTATATACTCCAAGTGTTACAATCAAAGTTGGGAATCAGTTTCCAGGGACAAAGTTTGTAGCATAAGCCCATGCATTGTTGGAAGCGGGATCGGCGAGGTGATCGAACAGGTTCTCAATTGGGCCCTTTCCAGTGACGATAGCCTGAACGAAGAATCCGAACATGGAGAACATAGCCAGCCGTCCGTTCTTGATCTCCTTCACCTTCAACTCCGCGAAAGCGTCGGGGTCATCCGCCAACCCCAGTGGGTCGAAGGCTCCACCTGGGTAGATTTTGTCCAGGCCTTCACCAAGTGGGCCCCCACCTACTCTGTATCCCTCTACGAAGCCCATCAGTACAACCTGGAAAGCCCATATTGCAAGGATGCTCTGGGCGTGGACTAGGTTGGGGTTGCCAAGGTAGTCCAGCCCACCCTCCGAGAAGATCTGGGCCCCCGCTTTGAACCACACCGCCTCACCGAACTTGACTCCGTTCTTCTCCAGGATTTCAGGGAAGACGCATCCCAGTGCGCCCAGCATGGCCCATCGGGCGTGGATGACCTCCAGCTCACGGTTCCTGGCGAATGTCTCTGGGTCAGCTGACAATCCGGCTGTATCCCATCCGTAGTCACCGGGGAATTCGCCGGTCAGGTACGATGGGGTTTGCTCCGAGAATGGGCCCAAGTACTTTGGGCGGTCCGGCCCGTACCTATAAATTTGTTCAATTCAAATTCAATGCCGATCAGATCATCACCATTCACCGGTAAATGGAAACAAACACATGAAAATTAAGAAGAAGAAGAAGAACATGGGCCGCCGGTAATTACCATATGCTCTGGGGAGCACTCTTTACGGTGCGGCGCATCGAGACGCGACCTCCGGAGACGCCGACTTTCCGGACAAGCTCATTTTGCTGCTTCAAAGCGGTCTGGCCGGCAAAGGCTGACTGTTGGATTGCCGAGGTTGCCATGACTGTAATAATGTACAAGAGCTTGTTGGGATTTGTGAGATAGGAAGAGGGAATGAGAAGGGAGTAGTTTAAGAAAAGGAGAGGAGGGAGATGTTGTGGATGAGGATATCTTATATCTACACGTCAGCGCTATCCTATTGGTTCTCTTTTCGTCCTGGAATCTGGATTTCCTTATAGCAAAATCGAGTTAAAATCACAACGTCCCACAGCACATCCTTGCTGTGTATGTGTATTGGAAATATTTCTTGATGATGACATCACTATTTCTAATAAAGATAAAAACAATCTAGTGGAGGGCTGATTTGGTCTCAGCAAAAAATCACCCAAAGGCCAGTGTTGAGCCACGTAGGCATTAGAAGATGTTGTTTAGGATTAGGGAATGGCCCACGGCGACAGCGCTTCGCACCTCACCTCGTCCATGGGGTTATTGATTGGGTAATGGATACCGGGTATTTGGTTTAACTTTCAAGGGCTCAGGGCTCAGGGCTCAGGGCTCAGATATGGGCCGTGAAGCTAACATGTCTGCTTTGCTATGAAAAGTACAAAGAATTTCAAAGCATTACCGGTTGCAAAATGAGAAACCACTACGTTTAATGGAGCCGTATAAAAATTAAAGGAGGATTTTGTTCACATCGGCTATGACTACGGTTGCAGCTAGCACTTCCTTGCAACTTTCCAATACTGACAAAAATAAAAGATGGAGATGTCAAGATGTTGAGTTTTCAGAAAGGACTGGTGTTTGTGTTTCCATGTTTAATTGGGCCATCTAAGGGATGGAGGGAACATGTGACAGAGACCACCCTCTTCAAAGAGTCATCTCCTTTTTTTTATAAGAGGGTATATTATGAGGCCATTTTGAGGAAACAGGGACCGAAATTCTTAAAACCCATTAGCCAGCCATACGTAAAATGGCAGGGTTGTCTTCTGAAATCTGATGACTCACAAACTAAGCACCACGTTGGCAGTTTCTTTTGACACAGTGGGCCAAATATCTCAGTTTCTCCACTGATGCCGGTAAAATTGGAATCCAGATTTATGTCACATGCTCACAGCAATCTCATTGCACATCATACCCGTGCATTGAAACATTTCCCATTAATGATAAAATACAAGTACAGTACAGAAGATGTTCCCTGTTCCTCACACAGGGAGACATCGGCTTCAGTCAGTGCAACGCTTGTTCCAACAGTTTTTACAGCGTGTTGCTTCAAGAACATCTCTATATTCCCAATACAAGACTATAATGATTATTTGAATGGACTTTGGACCTGACTGAATCCAATTTATATTAAAAATATCATTCATAAATAATAATACATAAGTACCAAAGATGTTGTCAATACACGGTGGAATGTGCCTATAAAGTCAGTGTGAGGAGCAGATCTGGTCTCTCCCAACGCATAGCTGAAAATGACGTTAAGGAGCAATCTGGCTTGGTGAAATTAGAATGTGCCTGTAAACTGAATGCTTTTCACTAACACGAGTAGAATGGGGATTGACACATGGAAGTGGAATTAGGATTTATTACTCGCACCAACCTCACAGAACGTTGCAGTCGTGCTTTGGGAACATCTCCCAATGATAATTTAGAAGAAGGGAGATGTTCCAGATATACGGCTCCAAATGCCTGTGATGTTTCATGGGTGATGTGGCTTTGTTCCCTCTTTTATTTAATAGAAGTTTTTATTCCAAACGGATCATGCAGTAAGGATATGATCTCTTCCGACTTCCAGCTAGATGTGCAAATCGGGTCATGCCACCTGCGGTTCGGTCTGGCCCAACCCAATGGTTCACGGGTTGTGTTACGATACGACACGATTGTATTGGTCGTGCTAGGCTTAGGGTTTTTGATCCGTGGGCCAGGCCAGGTTGGCATGATTTTGAGCCGACCCAGTCTGGCCTGATGGTTCATGATTTGTGTCAGCATTATTTTCTTTGTTAGATTTTTTAGTTTTTCAAATTGTTCCCAAAGCGAGCAAATCCCAAAGGAAAGTTAGCAACAAAAAAAAAAAGTCTAGGCCTTTCTAGCCCAATTTTGCCCAAGCCTAAGGCTCGGCCCATAGCCTAGCCTAACACCGCTTAGGCCCACGATAAAGCCTACAACCCACCCAAGTCAGGCCCACAACATGACCTACAGCCCGCCCAACACAGGCCCGCATAGGCTCAAGCCGTGGAGCGAGCCAGGCCAACCCCCCGAAGTATCCTAGGGAAGGGAATCATGGCCCACAGTTTGCACAGGCCGCATGTGAGCATTACCGTGCTGGCCCAGCACAACCCATTTTACACCTCTACTTCCAGCTAAATTTGTCATAATTGGGTTTGAATCCACATCAACTCCATGCTTCGGCTAATCTTTTTTTAATAAGAGTAATCCAATAAAATTCATTAAGGAGGGAAGAGAGCACTGTAATTGGCATCAAAGAACAGATGAAACCAAGTAGCAAAATGTGAACAAGTGAAATGGGCACTTGCCAGCAACATAACAACTTTTGAGATCCTGTGTGCTAGAGTGTTAGTAGTGCGACAAATGTGTTTGAAATCGAACTAAGGGCCTATTCGTTTCCTCTTAACTCTTATCTCTTAAGAGGAATCTTTTAACTTTAAGAAAAAATGGTTGTTCATTTCCTCTTATCTCTTATTTCTTAAAGTGCAATCGTACAACTTTTTATTTTTCAATGATACCTCAAAAAAGACAAACAAAAACTCTCATGCATGGGGTCAAAATGGATATTTGATAATTTTCAGAATTTAGAACAACATTCTCTTCATTCAGAATTTAAAGGAAAGAAAAGTTCACCAATACCAATATACCTCTTAATGTAATTATTGCACTTTCAGATGTCAATCTTCAGAGCAAACGAATAGGCTCTGAGTGTCCCAAGCAATCTAACGAGAATATTGGGTAAAGGTGGATTCGAGTTGAGCTAAGCCGAATAGTATGAGGCTCGAACTTGGCTCGCCTAGGAAGTATAAGGCTCAAGCTCGAGCTCGAGCTTGGTTCAAGCTAAAACCTTGACCTCGATCTTGGCTCAAGTTAAAACCTCATAAGCTCGAACTCGATTTGAAAAAAGAATATAAAATATTTTTTTATTTGATATTTATTAAATAAGAATTATATATATATATACATATATATATATATATATATAATCTAGGCTCGAACTTGAACTCGATTGAAACCAAGCCGATCTAAGCTTTTCACGAGCTGAGCTTGAGTAGCTCCGTGGCCATCCCTAATATTGGGCTAAGTTGTACAAAGGAGGGAGACTGTTATCCTTCAACTTGTTTATCAAACTAATTGCGTCCAGGGAGACTCTACTATCACCTGAGAAAATCCCAAGGCGAACGCCTCAAAGCAGCCAAATCTGATGGCCCAAAGTTCTGCAACAAGAACTGAAGAACTAGAGAAATTTTGGCAACGGGCATGCATCACTTTACCCTGGTTGTCCCTCGCCACACAAGCAATCCCAGCTTTCAAAGAATGTTAAGCAGCCCAATCTTTTGAATCCACCCAGAAGGTTAAGCGGGAAATGTGGCCACCAGAGTCATCAGGCCTCAGCGTTTACTTGTTTTTATCTTTTTCTTTTCTCCGCTTGTGGTGATTAACACTTAACACTTGGACGGAAAAGGTATTTAACTTCTATTGCTCAAACATACAGATGAGATAGGATTGAGGATCAAGATGACTTGTGAGTCTTTTCTCCTAGATCAATATTCCATTTCCCGGAAATGTAGTGAAAACGAGATGATAATAACTTTTCTGCTAATTAACAAGAGAAAAAATGCCTACTAATAGTACAAAATTTGACAACTGAAATTTAAAGGAATGACGTATCATCACCGCTCCATAGAAGAATCCTCCTCGGCCCTGATATCAGCTCCCAACTTACCCAACATGATCGCAGTCAACATTAGCTTACCTGCGTCGGGAAAATCCTTGTGCTGCATCAAGATCTCTTCAACAGAAGGAACAGGATCCTTCAACAAAGGAACCTCAAAGTCATTTTGCCTTAGTTGCAGCACCTCATCAAACCCTCCTTCATATGTCTCTGCTTTGGGTCCATAACACCTGTATGAAGCCTGAAAGAGCACAGTCTCTTGCAGAAACTGTAGGGTCACTTCATCACTCCAACCTTCAGCTAGAGATTCTTGGTAGAGATTTCCCCAATCATGCTGATCAGCAGCATTCTTCCAGCATTCCTCAAGAAGACTTCTGTTGAACTTTCGGTAAGAGGAGCTGGTCCAAGCGAAGACATCAAAAGCCAGTAAGGCAAGCTCTGGTGTTTGGCCCTTCAGGCACAGTTCAATCAGCTCCCCAGGAGGAAGAAGCTGTTTCCCAATGTCTTCCTTCTCTTTATTACCAGGAAGAAGCCTGATAATGTCCTCCTGCATCACAAAGAACCAGAGACATCATCTGGGAAGTGCATAAATGTTTAGCTTGATGAATATTATCTGGCCAAATATAATTTTGATATCATGCAATTAATCATCCAGGTAATTCAGCCATATCATAATATTCTGCCATAGGCCCATAGATATATCCCTGTTTGTCACATTTCAAGCAATAATTTCCTGAGTGGTTTCTTTCTTATACATGACAGCTGTAATGGCATGTTGTTTTGCTTTAACAAATCTAAGACTCCAAAAATTTCATTGTTCAGGAGCAATTTTGTAAAGCAATGGCACATCCTGCATTGGGTGGGAAAGCAATGGCACATCCTGCATTGGGCAAGATATGACCAGAAAAAAAAAAAAAAAGAATCACATATTAGATGTTGTCCAGTTGTTTCATGGGCTAGCCAACATCCAAGACACTACCTGCTTAATCTAATTTTATAAGTCCTGGGCAATCTGCACTGAAGATGAAGGACCATCTCTTTTTTGAACAAGACCATTATAGTGATTGAAAACAAGATAGGTTGGGAAATTAAGATATAAAGAACAAAGACAACTATGCCATCTTCTGAATACAACACCTGCAATTTCAAGATCTTTAAATCAGCCTCTATACGCTTTTTATTTGTTTCGAGCTCAGCATCCCTTCCTGTTGAGCATTCAACATCTGTTAGTGGTTTATTATGTAGCAAACTAGAGAAAGACGTAAATTTCATAAAAAGAATAAAAAACAAAGAATAACAATAAGTAATGACACAGTGACTTATACATCAAGATAACCACTCAACAGTGCAGATAAGATGCAAATGGCCAAATGTCAGTTTGATGTTGCTTACCTAGTGGTTACAGCTTCTAGACAAGCATCTTTTATGGCTGATGGATAAAAATAAGCCTTCAAAATGATTAGGGGATTGCGAGTTGAATGGATTTATCAAGGTAAAGGGTTGTTCCAGTGGTTTAAAATTTTAGAAATGCTGGTCCAGGCTTCTTAAAGAACACTTCATAAGGAGAAATATTGTTACTAATAAATATAAATATTTAAATTTAATTGAACGAGGGATTTCTTTAAGTTCTTACAAAGTTTTAATGTAGTATGTGAATTTATAAATAGGTCTGAATAAGTGTTTATGACTTCAGGCAAAAGGCTGTTGAAGACAGCTTTATCACATTAATTATAGATAAGACAGCTTCATCTCATTCTCCAAAAGTGACTAATAAACTGCAACACCAAAATCTAATTCATAGCACAAGAATAACATTAGATGACAAAAGACACACTAAAGGCTCTTGCTTCTTTTTGGGAGATTTTTCAAATCCCAATGTATAGCAGCATCTGGTTGGACATGGGCTTTGCATCCATTTTGCTTTTGTGTGTGTGTGTTTATGTTAACTACATCCATTCTGTTTTGATTAATGCAACTATGTGCTACCTTTTCTTTTCAAAAAAAAAAAAGATGGTCAAGAACTATATTCTCAAAACAGCAGTTGAAGTCCTCTGTACACAAGGCCTGTACTTTTAGACTACACAAATTTCCATAAATTGCTCTGAATTAAGAAATGACTTTCACCCTGGTTTAAACATGTTGACCCAACTTATTTTAGGGCCATCCTTAGTATGCCACTAAAACTGACTAGAGAGAAGACAAAAATAACAGCCAAGAGAGAATCAACAGTCTTTATTAGAGTTTTTGTTGGTCCACTGCATGCCTAGAAGAAACAGTTAAATGCACTGTTATGTCCTTTTTTGTACCTGAAATAATATCTATTTCCATGCATGTACACTTCGAGACAAATGTATGTAATCTAGTGTTTTAAAAGCACAAGGCACAAAAAAGGCACAGGGGCCAATTTGCACCTGAGATGCAAGGCGTATGCCTTTTTGAAGCAAGGCACAAAAATACAAAAAAAAAGCTAAAAAATGCCAGAAAATTCAAAAAAATTGCAAAAAAAAACAAAAATATTAAGCATAATATTAATAAAAATATAAACTTAAATTTTAAAATAAATGTTTAAAAAAACCTATTATCTAAAATTAAAATACATAAACATAACATGTAAAGAGTATTCAAATGAGAATTAAAAAATAAAATCAAACATATAAAACATTTTCAAGCATGTAAAACCCACAATCTCTTTTTTTCCTCAATTGCATTACTTCAAGTAGCTAATGTGATGTAAAACATATTACATTCTTATTTCTACAAGCCGCCTTTGTGCCACACCCCTCAAGGCAAGGCCAAACAAGTCCATGTTAGGGTCTTAAATTCTTAGTTCTCACACAAAAAATAATGATTTTATAATTTTAATTACTTTTTTAAGAAGATATTTTAGTAAGATGAATGAATGAACAACATTAGCAAATAGAGGGCTAGGTTCAAAAAAGAAAAAAGTGTCAAATTTTCAAAAAGCGCACGCCTGGGCTGAGGTGCAAGGCACATCAGGCATGCACATTTTGAAAGGGCTGCGCCTAGGACCTAGGCAAGGTGCATACCCTAAAATGCGCCTCGGCCGGGTGCCTAGGTGCGCCTCATTGATGTAATCTAGTTATAAGCCTAACTCCAACTCCAAAAAGAACTTAGATAAAGTGACAGAATTGCAGTTAGCTTTGGATTTAATAATTTACATTTGAAAAGATATCATCTTGAGCATTTCAGCTTGGATATTCAATTTTAAGGGACTGAATTATATAGTACATGGTGAATGCACTTCCATTTAAACCTCCTAAACGTTACAAACAAGTAAAAATGAAGTCATTCAATGAGAACTCTACATGTTTGTTCCTCTCTGCTCCACATGCAGGCAGGGGTTTCAGAACTGTAGTGTTACTAGATGACTGGTACAATGGGCATTAAACCATGACATCCATGAATGTCAGCAAAGCCCATTTCTTGCATGTATATGAGCTTTTGAACTATTACCACATAGTATATCAAACTCAGCCTCATGTCAGTTGAGCTATTTGTTTTGGCATCTACTGAGACAAAATAGACTTGATTGTATATCTCAACCTTAATCCTAATTCCTAGAAACAATAGATGAATGATCATCAAAGATACAGGGTGGCTGGATAGCAAACGAAATAAAGGTACAAAATAATGCACTTTTCAAGAGGAAAAAAATAACTAACAAATAAGTGAGATAAAAAACCTGCCATTACAGCTATCTTGGAGAGGTTAAGTAGACGTCTTCTTTCTGCCAAAGTTGGTTTCACTCTTGCACAGTCAGCATCCAGCTCTTCTTCAGCTGACGAAATAGGGGCATCATCTTCAGAAAGAGCCAATTTATGCAGAGTTTCTGAAGCTGAGGAGAAATGATTTAGGAATATTTGATGAAGCCACAACAGATTCTTGTGTTGTTTTAGAAAGGCAACTAGCTCCTCCTGGAATTCTTCCCCAAGCCTTAGAAGCTTTGCAAACTTCTGTTCTTCATACAATCTTTCAAACACAAAGTAACTAAACCCTCCTCGAGGCCCCATGCTCTCATGCTGTAGAGGGAAAATTTCCAAGGCATTCAGGAAGAAGAAATGTGTCACAAAGACAAAATCGGAATAAAAGAATGCAAAAGAAAGTGTCAACAATAACAGAAAAGTTGTCATCACAATCTTTAAAATCATTTTTCCTTCAATTCTGGCCAATGAGATTAGATACAGATGCATGCTACAAAATATGGAGAATCCCATTCTGGAAAATCCCTTCTAGAACGATTCATGTGGCAAAGTAGGGGTAGGAAGAGCAACAGGTTCAACTGTCACCATAAACAAAAAGAAGGAAAATTGGAGATATCTATAACATGCTCATGAAGTATGCCAATTCAGAATAAGGGAAAAAGCCAATCAACAACATAGTTTAGAGACAAGATGTGTAAAATATGATTCAAGGCTTGCTATCATCCTTGGGTTTCACATCAATGAACCAATACTTAAACAGAAGATAAATTTCCAACTGAAATGCATGAACAAGAAACTTTTAAGATATGTGGCTCTGCCACGTAGATTGCATTTTGTGGATTGGGAAAGGCTGAAAGGATATGCAAACCCTTGAAAGCTTGAGGAGGGTTATTGCTACCAAATTTGAGTCAAGGGAGATGGGATAGGAAGCTAGAAATCAGGTGCAGTCTTATAGAACATCAGTGTGGTCTCAGTTTTCCCAATGAGTTGCTTACAAGATAGAGGGGAGAAAGGTAAAATTTTGGAAGGATAGGTGGTGTGGGGCGCAGCCAATGAATGGAAGTATATTCTTCTTTGTTTTTGACATCTCAATATAGAGATGTCTGAGTTAAGGACTGCTACAAATTAATTAATAGGGATGTTATTTGATGCCCTCCCCTTGGAAGAAATTTCAATTTTGGGAGATGAATCAGGAATTGGATGTTCTTCTATCTCTTCAGCATGTTTGTCCTCAGACCTCAGGTAGAGTAGCAAGATAGAAGAGAGTGGCGGTGGGAGAGAGGTGCCTACTCTCTGTTAAATCTTTTTTTTAAGCTGCCAAATGAGCCAGTTGAAATTTCCCAATGTACAGTCTCTTGTTGTACATGGGCTTACTTTGATAGTGAATATAATACCATTACTTTACCTTTTCCGAAAAAGATATACAATGCAAGAGTCCCCTATACAGTGAGACATAATTTATTGGATCTGTGTCTAATGCATTTATATAGGATGGCTACTGTTTGAAGGTAAAGGTTATTTTAAGTGAATGAAATTTTATTAGAAAACTTCAAAATATCATCAGTACAAGCAACCCAAGGAGAGGTGCTAGGTGCACCCTCACTCAATCAATACAAGTAAAATTACATTACAAATTTACCCAATAAAAGATATCCCTGCTAACCCCTTGTTTTGCCAGCAATTCTGCCATTCCATTAGCTGATCTTCATACCCACTGAATATTTAAAATCACAGTCCTGGTTTTCCAAATAAATTTCTTCATTAAGTCCCTCCATGCCCATATAAGTGTCTCTGGTTTCTCTAACCATCCCACAACCAATTTGGAGTCCCTGTCAATGAACTATTTCTCCAAGTTCAAATCTTTTGCTATTTGATCCCCTTGGATTACAGCAAGAAACTCTGCTTCGGTGAGTTAAAAGGCACACACAGGCTAGGCACATTTTAGGGTAGGCGCCTCACCCAAGTCCTAGGAACAGCACTTTCAAAAGGCGCACGCCTGGTGCGCCTAGGGATGCACCTGATGTGCCTTGCGCCTTGGCCCAGGTGTGCGCCTTTTGAAAATTGTACATTTTTTTGCTTTTTTTAACCTACCGGATGGACCGGGGGCTTTTCCCCTGGACCCCCAACCACGCCCCTTGAGGCAAGCCCAAACAAGTCCATGTTAGGTCTTAAATTCTTAATTCTCACACTAAAAAAATAATGATTTTATAATTTTAATTGCCTTTTAAGAATATATTTTATTAAGATGAATGAATGAACAACATTAGCAAATAGGGGGTTCTCGGAGCTTTGGTGAGTGAGCGAAGCAAACAAACTGGAGCGAAGGCAATTAAAATTATAAAATCATTACTTTTTGTGTGAGAATTAAGAATTTAAGACCCAGACATGGACTTCTTTGGGCTTGCCTCAAGGGGTGTAGCACCATAGTTGTCAAGGCGGCACCCAGGCGACAAGGCACCCTTTGAAGCTCACCTCGCCTAATCGCCAAGCAGTTTTGTACTATGTATTGTAAAATACTTTTTTATTCTTTATTTTTTTTCATTATAATTATAAAATAGGCACTATTAAACTAAAATATTCATTTTGAGTGTTTATATACTAATTTGTTTTTATTATTTTCTTATTTGTTAGGATTTAATCAATACAAACATTGCTAAATGCTGTATTGAACCCTCAAAGACTTTAAAACCTGAAACAACAAGGAAGAACTTCAAATTTTGTCTAATCAACCCATTTTCTATAATAAGGGTTCAGCCCCTATATTTTTTGAATTTTCTTTTCCTTCTTTTTTTTCTTCTCATGAATATGTTGATTTTCTATACTTTAATATGAACTCTATACTTTTCTTATGAAAATTATGAATAATTATTAAGGAAATATGGCTATGGTACCTAGGGAACTACCCTAGGATCTATGTTTTCTATATAAACAAATCCATCGCCTAGGCAACAAGGCGCCTCCCCTAACGCCCAGCCTCACCTTGGTGCCTTGAAAACTATGCGTAGCACAAAGGCAACTCGTAGAATCAGGAATGTAATATGTTTTACATCACATTGTCCACTTGAAGTAATGCAATTGAGGAGAAAACAGAGATTGTGAAGGGGCGTGTCACAAAGGCAACTCGTAAAATCAGGAATGTAATATGTTTTACATCACATTAACTACTTGAAGTAATGTAATTGAAGAAAAAAAGAGATTGTGGGCTTTACATGATTGAAAATGTTTTATATGTTTGAATTTATTTTAAAATTTTCATTTGAAAATGCTTTACAAATTATGTTTATGTATTTTAATTTTAGATAATAGGTTTTTAAACCATTAATTTTAAAATTGAAGTTTATATTTTGATAAGCCCCATAAGAAGAATATCCCAGATGAAACACTTCAGACCCATCAAGCCCATTTGAAGGTCCAGAGAGTTGCAAGGGTTACTCCACCAATTACGTTTGTATACACACATCACCCACGTACTGAATAGAGGGATGTGTGCTCAGAGGTTGTTATGGGTTGTACGACCATGCACTATAAGACCAACCCGCATTGCGTGAATGAGCAGTGAATCATTTAGCAGAATCTCTCTCTCTCTCTCTCTCTCTCTCTCTCTCTCTCTCTCTCTCTCTCTCTCTCTCTCTCATCGGCAACTCAAATAGAGTAGGGTCTTA